ACTGAGTTTTCTCTGAGTCCTGTTAATACCTGAGACCCATCTGGGCCACACCCAACCCAGTGCTATAAAGAAAGGGACGGGGAGGGAGAGGAACTGTCTCAGTGAAGGATTGCGCCGAAGCTCTGTGTGTGACTTCAGTTCTCTCAGAAACCACCCCTCCTCCTCCACATGACTTCAACAGCATTTGAATCCTCGCCAGCTGACAACTCCACAGCCTTAGCATGTTGGCAGCACAAGTGGGCTGTCAGTGAGGCAGAGGCCTGTTTTCCCCTCCTACCCCATTCCATTCTTCAGTCCCCAAACCAGCTCTCGGATGGAGGCTGATCTAAGCAGGGGAGGAACACAGCTATTTGGCAGTGGGCTGACACTATCAGGGGACACTCAACAAGTTAACAGCAGAGTCACCCAGGGAGGTCACTTAACACACACACACACCCTAGGGAGGGCAAGGAGGGAGACTGACAGTTGTAAGAGCTCTACACTTAAGAAAAGGGAGGCTTGGGCCGGGGATTTAGCTCAGTGGTTTCACCGCCTGCTATGCAAGCACAAGTACCCGAGTTCTATCCCCAGTACCAAAATAAAAAATAAAAATAAAGAAAAGGGAGGCTGGCTGTAATTCCAGCACTCTGGGAGACTGGGGCAGAAGGATCACAAGTTCAAGCCCAGCCTGGGCAATTTAGCAGTACCCTGTTTCTAAATTTAAAAGGGTAGGGGTGGAGGCTGAGGATATAGCTCAGTAGAGCACTGGCTTAGCATGCAGGAGATCATGGGTTCAATGCCCAACAACAGTAGTCTAAGCTTCTAAGGACAAAAGGCAAGTTCTGTAGTCATTGCCTTCCTCAGGATACCTAATATGATGGCCTTTTAATTTACCCATTTTTTAACAGTCAGTTCTTCAGTGTCCAGTTTGAGAATGCTTGCCTACTCTAAGGTCATGAAGGTAGCATCTTACGTTTTCTTTGAAATCTTTATTGCTTTTCCTTTCACACTTAGACCACACCCATCTGGAGTTAACTGGGGGAGGGGCTTATGTTATGAGGTAATCTTTTATCACATGGATATCCAGACAGCACATTTATTAAAAAGCCTACCTTTTCCCATAGCACCTTTGCCATAAATCGAGTGTCAATCTATGTGAAGGTCTATTTCCTTGCTCTTAATTCTGCTACTTAACAATTTTTAAATTACCTAAGGTGCTAACTGATTCATCTTTTTGCAGCAGGTATTTAGTACCCAGGACGCAGTTTATTTAGGTTTAAATCATTTTGTATTTAAGCACTGATTATACAAAATGTAAACAAGTGAATTGATTTATGGTGTGACTTGTTTATGTAAGTTGCCTTCAAAATATATTGCAGCTAAGATAGGTGTAAGATTTTACATGCATTTTGGAAGAAATCACACGAAAACAGATGCTTTTTCAATAAATCTCACCAGCTGCACATCTCTTCTGGTCAGTCCACCATAGTCATGTGATGTGAGAGTTATTTGTTGTATACATTGAACCATTCCGCGTGATGATTATCTTCTCTGCTTGTAGGGCAACTCGGGACATAAAGCCAAAAGCCTGTTCATCACTAGGTTGCTGCTTTCTCGGGATGGTGTGGTGATAGTTGGGACACAATTTATTTAGAAAAAGAAGGATAAACGCTTGGCTTTCTCCTTTAGTTTGCTAGTTTAAAAAATAGATTTGGTTTAGTAGCATCCTTCAGAGATGGTCAGTGGCACTTTGGTATCATCATAAATTCACGTGTTAACATAACTGCTGTTTCAATCAACTGCAGTTACTATCTTTATTCATGTTCAGAATCTCCCATCCTTGGGAGCCTCTTCTGGTTGGCTCTGGGTCATCCTGGCACCTCTCTCTCTCCCTCTCCCTCTTTCTCTAAATGTACATACATACATACATATATATATATACATATATATATATATATATATATATATATATATATATATATATATATATATATCTTCCCTGCACGCTGGTGAGTTCGTAGCCATAGATGACAGACAGAAAGAAGCCCTTGCTGGAATAAAAATTCCACAAAGCTGACCAATGGCTGTGGAGGGATTGGTGCCAGCAGCCACTTGTACAACAGCCATGCTGAAGGGCGGGAGGTCCTAAATCCACCCAATGTAGGACCATTTTGAGGGTTAAATGAAAAGGCCAAGCACACAGATCAGGAAGGAAAGGAGGACACTAAATTGGTACTAGTTAGTATTTGTGAAAACTTACTATGTGCCAGAAGCTAATATTGCTCATTACAGGTATTAACTTACTCAATCCTTAGGATGACTACATGTCGTGGGAGCTATTTCTATCCCTCTTTATGGACGAGGAATTGGGGCTTCTTGGTGAATATGACGGGGCCTCTGGAGGGGACTCTGGCACTGGTGGGGAGATGGACGCTGCCGTGAACTGCCCAGCCGACCCTGCCGCGTGCATTGCAGGCCTGGGGCACCCCGTAAATCAGCTCGGCCGGCCGGGTTGGTGCTTCGTCCCCAAGAGCGCTCTTCCCTCCCAGGGCCCAGCCTGTCACCCGAGAAGGCCCCTTCTCTGCCTTCACTGAGCACCGATGCCCACTCCCTCACCACGTGGCAACAGCACACACAAGTTCCTGCTGAGTCATTACCAGGCCAGGAGCTGGACAGGCGCTTCGCATATTTTCTCAATTATCCCCTCCTCACAGAGGAGGAGGTGGAGGAGGCTGTTTTGCTCAGGGTCACAAAGCTAGGGAACCTGGGGCAGGGAACCCACCCAGACGCATCCGATGCCAAAGCCCGGCGCCTCATTCCTAATCCTCTTATTGCCCTCTGCCGGCCGAGGACCGCATTGCCGCGCTCAGCCGGGCCCGCTGTTAGGAGGCCTCGCAAACTTCAACTGAGGAGGGAGCGGCGCCCTCACAGGAGAATGGGGGCGGGGTGGGGAATGGGTCTTGATCTCAAAGCCACCAAAGCCGGGTGTGGTGCCCATGTCTGTAATCCCAACGCTCTGAGAGGATCACAAGTTTGAACCCAGCCTCCTGGGCAATTTAGTGAGATCCTGTATCAAAAAAAAAATTTTAAGGCTGAAAGTGTAGCTCAGTGTGAAGCCCCTGGGTTCAGTCCCCAGTACACACACACACACACACACACACACACACACACACACACACACACACACACACCAGTGAGCCCATTAAATTGCACCAGTCAAAATATACGTTAGTTTTGCAATGGGGAAAACCGGTGAAATTAGTAGGGTTACATAACAGTAAAGCAGCAGCCTGTCTGCAACTTTCAGATGATTCAGAAAAACAGTATACGGAGACAGAAAATGCAGGAGAGCACACAATTTTTAAATTATGGCAAAAGTTTAATATTTGAAGAATTTGAGACATGTAGAGAATTCATTATACTATTCTTACAACTCTTCTGTAAGTCTGAAACAACTTCAAAATAAAACAATTGCACCTTCAGAAAGCCACCAACTACCCCTCCCCAAGACCCTGGAATATTCTCTGGTGACCAAAGGCATCCACTGGAGACTGTGGGTTTGTTACCACAGGCCTCTCCTTGATGACCACAGAAGCACAGAGACCCTGAGGCTGCAGGAGGAAGCAGCTCCCTCTTGGCCAGGGTCCCCAAGGATCTCTGGTACCTCCTGACACACACACTGCACCACTGCAGGCAGTGGTAGGGGCCCCAAAGGTGTGTCCAGACATTGGTAAGTATATAAGGGTCAGTATGTAAGGCAGGCAGCGGAACCACTGAGCTAAATCCCTGGCCCTTGCTGGGTTTTGTTGGGTTTAGGAAAGTGAATAAATGCAATGTTTTGCCTCATGACTGTTGGCAAGGAATTCATTCCAGAACTCCCTATGCTGCTGGGTCCCTCTAGCAGAGAGCCCTATCCAAAGAGGCCTAAGGCATTAGTCCTGGCCTGGCTGGCCACCTGCCCCCAGAAGTTGAGACTTGTGACACTGTCCGCCAGAGTTGTGAGGCAGGAAGCACACCACGAGAAGCACACAAGGGCTCCATGAGGAGGTGCTGGTGATGCTGAGAATACAGGCTAGCAGGAGTTAGGCGGGCTAGGGGCAAGAGAAAGGAGGACATCAAGCAGAAAATGGCACACCTATGGCCAGGAGACAGCTGACTGGAAGAAAGCAGGACGAGGATCATGCATGACTGTGACAGGGCTGAGGGGGTGTACCAGGTAGTGACCAGCTCATTGATGGCCCCAGAGACCGCATCAATCTTGTGTATGTGCTGCTGAAGCAAGCACCAGAAACCACATGGAGAAGTCTGAACTTTAACCCAAGGCACCGAAGGGTCCCAAGCTGGGAAAGGTCACCCAGCTGTGGTGTGAGGAATGCATGAGCAGAGGCAGCCATGCTGCAGGGAGGCCACTGGAGGCTGCCACAAAAATTCTGGCAGGAGAAAAGGGCCTGGCCTCAGCAGCCAGCAGTAAGGGCAAATCTGAAGGCCATTGAGAAAGTGGAGCAGGAAGGCTGCAGGGGCTAGTGGTCACTCCTAGTTACTGCTTGTGAAGCAGAACAGATCTGGGATGGGTGCAGAAAAAGCCATGGGTTTGGTTTTGCAATGTCCTCCAGGAGAAGCATCACGGGCTGCTGTAGGCAGAGCCTTTGTGGGAGAGAGGCAAGGACTGACCAGTATGGAGGAAGTGTGGTGATCAGAGCCCTTGAGCAAACAAAAACACCGGGGAGAGAATGCAGTGGGGGAAAGAGGCCTAGGCAGAATGCCGCCATCTAGAGGACAAGCGGGGAAGCACTGGAATTGGAAGGCCGGCTGAGGAGTGCAACCAAAGAAGCAAAGGCCAGGAGAGCTGCTGAGAAGGCAAGGGGCAGAGATGTCTCCAGAGATGCGGAGCAGTCAGGAGCACCCCAGGATGCTGGCTCCACAGTGGTGACCCCCACAGGGCATCTGCACCACGTCACCACAGCCTTGTTGCACCCCTGGGCTTCAAAATGCATTTCCCCCACCACAAACCACACATGATCTAGAATTCAATATATGTTTATTTGTGTAATAGGAACATTTGGGTATATAAATAGGTAAATACTTTCCAATGTACAATATATCATATTCTTATACTGCATTGAAAAAGAGCCTATGTGTACTGTTCCACATAGATCAGAAGTGCACAGAAAAGGTCAGCTGTGGCAAAAACACTGATTTAGTAAAATGCCAACATGAATAAACAGTGAAGCAAGGGCACACAAACACATGCCTATCTGGGGAGACCCACAGGTCTGAGGAGAGGAAAACCATTGGCACCCAGCCAATCAGTGTGAGAAAGTGAATTCTACCTCTCCCTCCAAAGAAGGGGGTGTGCTCCACCCTGACTTCCCAACTCTGACTTTGCCCTCCTGATTTGGAAGGTGTTAAACATAAATAAAAATTAAATTTGGCATCAGCGCTGACTCTGGAAGGTAATCCATGAGCTCCCAATCTCCTTGGATGGGTTTCCATCCCCACACCCACAAGAGACTCATCTGGCCTCAGATGGTTGTCCTCAGTGAGGGACTCCCAGGCCCCATCCCTGCCCCATCCCTCCTGCCGTTGCCCCCAAGGGTTCTCAGAATCTCTTAGCAGACAACAACAAATCACTGCCTCTCAGCCCCTCACTGTTCTCTTGCCACCAAGTCCTTTGGTCTCACCAGCCCTGGTGTCTGGTTGGCTCCTCCTCTCTGTGATCAACACCATACACCCAGTCAGGGTGACAAGGCAGAAGCAGTTTACCAAAGGTCAGTGCTCTTCCTGGGGGATACTGTTACAGAAACATGTGCACATTCTGCCTGCTAGGAAGTTACTCCAGGAGCAGAGGACAGATGGCCAGTGGGTGATGCCAGCAAGCAGCTTCATGGGGGCAAGTGCCAGGTGCCAGCTCTCTTGCACACTATATGTAGGGGAAGTCCCAGTGCCAAAGAGAACTGCATAGACGGTCAGCCCTGTCCACAGCACCCTCCCCCAGCCAGTGGGAAGCCTCCCTCTCTCCAGGTAAAGGGCTGCCTGGGTCAATTTTTGTTTTTCTTTTCAAGATAAGATCTCACTATGTACCCCAGGCTGGCCTCAAACTCACAGCAATTCTCCTGCCTTCCAAGTGCTGACATGCTCCACCACACCTAGCTGCCTGGGTCACTTAGATGGTAGTGAGGAAGTGCCAGGGCTGGTGAACCCCAGTTCAGAAGGGCAAGAGGACCTTCAGGGCAGCCCCCCCCCCCCGAGATGGGGCTACCCTGCAGGGGCTTACTAAAAACCTCTACTGCCCTTCTCTGACTCTTGTAATTATTCAGTAATGAACTCTAGGGGAGAGTGACCATTTAGATTCCAGCAGTGGGCCTTTGGGTTCCATAAACACCCAAGAAACAATCCACAGTCAAGCCAGTAGTTCTAACTTTTACTATTACCCCACTGGCTTAAGAATCCCATGGATCGTATTAGCCAAACTATTCCTCCAACATAGAGTCCTCCATCTCACACTGCCTTCCCAATCTTGTCTCCAGTAAGAAAACTAAGACAAACATTTTTTCCCTCTGTCTACAGCCTGTTCTTCCCTTACTTGCAAATCACTTTGATTCTTTGCTCACCTAGAACCCAAAAGAAACAGCCTACAATCACTTGTCCTCAGCTATCACATACTCTATCACAGGAATCAAACTCAGGGCCTTGTGCTTGCCAGGCAGGCACTGCAAAACTGAGCTACATCCCTGGCCCTTTTTGTTACTATTTTTAAGAAAGAAGAAAAGAAAGAACAGAAGGCCCCAGGCTATGGACAAGGGAGTGGGCAGAGACTCCAGGCTCCTGGTCGGTGATACGCTTCAGAGCAGGTCCTGTTTTCCCCTCTTCTCTAGAAGGCCCCTGAAATCATCCACTGGCACAGGGAACTGCGGGCTCCAGAGCTTCATGCACAGAGTGTGGCCTTTGCTTGGCCTGGGAGGGGAAGTGGGGCCCAGAGAAAGTCACAGGCCCTCCTGTCCACAGAGTGCAGTTGCCCCAGGAAGTGGAAAAAGCCTGGGGGGGGGGGGGATCAGATCATGTGCATAGGAAGTGGGCACCATGCTTGGGCAGGCCACGCCCACTAAGCACAGATTCTCTGCACCCTCTCCTGTCCTCTTCCCCAACACTGTGAGGCACCAAGATGCCCAAGTGTTATAACTGCATTGCTTCTCTTGAAAGGATGGTGTGGTCACTTTCCAGACTGTAAACACCAGGCTGCGGGCAGGGTGGTGGCAGTATGGTGGCTGAAAACCCATTTTCTGGCATTACACCCAGTGTAGGTCAAATGACCAGCTAAGTGCAACAAGAATAATAATCATTAAAAAAAATAATAATAATAACAATCATTTAATGACCGCTTACTATGTGCCAGGCACTGTGCTAGATGTTTTCATGTGTTACTGCATTAAGTCCTTATAACCACTCTTGGACCCAGGTGGGTAGGAGCAGGAGGCCCGAAGCCACCTAGGGACCTACCCAGGCCTAGGGTTGACTGAGCCTGAAGTCTGTCTTCTTAGCCTCTGCTCTCAGCCTCCATGGCAGAGATTGTTTCCTCAACCGTAAAATGGGGACAACACCATCTCATCAAAGGGTTTCTGGACTAAAAGGGATAATGGATGCAAACCCTTAGCACTGTGCTTTGCACATATTAAGCACTGTATGATTGCAGCCATTAATAGATATGCTCCTGGTATTTCATTAGGTTGAGAATAAAGAGAAGGAGCCTGCGGATAGGCATCTGGTGAAAAAGGGGAGAAGAGGGGGCAAGGTCCTCAAATAGTCGATGGATCTGAACCTCTAGATTTCATATATTCAGCCCCTTCATTCTCATAAATCACCCACACATCCTAACGACACTTCATCCAAGTCACCTCCCAAATTGTCCTCAAAGCAGGATGTTCTGGGCTTGGGATGGTTCCCAGGCAAACAGGTGCAAGTCTTGTCCAACCAAGGGGCAGCCCCAGGTGAGAACAGCAGCCCAGGTAAGGTCAACCTGAAGGTCAACCAGAAAGGGAAGGCTTGGGGGGACAGAATGGTGGGCCACATTCAAGTGAAAACAGCAGCTAGGACCCTGCTCCTGAGGGCGTAAGTGAGGAGAAACCCGGACCAAGGGGAAGTGGGCCGAAGGGCCATTCATCACCACTTGCTCCAAACCCAGCACCCTATGTGGGTGGGGCCTTACAGAGGGAAACCGAACAGGAAGTGGGAGCTATTAATCTCTTTAAAAATTGGAAGCTGGTACAGTGATATTAGGAAAAGGAAGTTCGTTTTGACCAAGATAAGGATGATTCTGTGCTCAAGGATCAGCTCCCCTCTTCAGGAGCTGTGTTCCAATACAGAGCCCAGCCCTGGCTTACTGCCTAGTGGCGTATCTACAACAGTCACCATACATCTTCCCTCGGCCTTTCCTCCCCACCCTGACTTAGGAAGAACAGGAATCTTGGGTCTAAGTGAAATCACTCCCGAAGTGCATGCATGCACACACACTCCTCTCTTTTCCCCCCACACATAGGCATCATGTACAAGAACAGTAGGCCTGATGCAAATTACTCTGAAAGACAACAGTGCCTAGGACAGTGCTAAATAGAGGTTTCAGCAGTGACATGCCGTGTTCGGGAAAGTGATGAAAAGGCCCCTTGGAAATCCACCTCAACCTGGCTTCCTAAAGAACACGGCCACTGCTGGCCAGCCTCTCTGCGAGGACTTTCTGGGCCCAAGTCTCCACATCCTCTGACCCAATGCTATCCACTGAAGGGCTGGCTGGGCCCGCCCAGGCCTCTGACAGTGAGCCCCTGAACCAGGATCCACTCACACTGGGCTCCTGCCAATCAGCAACCAGTCAGGCCCCAATCACAGATGCCTGTGGTCTCCCTGAAATGTCCTTTCAGAATTTCCTTGCATAATGTAGGTCAAATTCCAGGATACGAGCCCAGTTGGAGAAAAGAACCATCAAAAAGGTTTCAAGGTCTACCTGTAGAAGGTTAAAGTTACATTTCGACCCCTGAAGAAAGACCAGTTCACATACATTACACAGCTATCCAACATCAAGAGCACATACATTTTAAGTACAGAGCTACTACAAGACTCTGAATATAAAGGAAGCAAGAAATAATAAACATGAAAAAGTCTCAGCTGCCTTAGAGGGTTTTACCTTCAGGAGTAAAACACAAATGTGCACATTTCCAATGACACGGGCAGTTAAAGAGGGTGGCTCGTACACACACACAGGAATGCTCTTCCCCTGTGAGGTCAGTCGGGGGCCACCAGGCTCATCAACTCCTTATTTCACCACTTATGAGCTAACAGCAATTCAAATACCAGCCTGGCTTGATGGGCCAGGCCTCCTGAATGTGGGGGAAGGAACACTGCAGCATTTCAGGGGCAAGTGGGGCTGGAGACCGACAGGTCCTTGTCCTGCAGGCACAGTGCTGATGGGGTGAGTCTGGCTCCCCTCACCACCCTGGGGAAGGTGCTCATGGCCCTCCCTCGAGGTACTTCAGAGGCCTCTGAGAATGTATGGGATACAAACCAGAAAATGAAACAGAAATCTGTACATCACGTCTATACCACATTTATGAATACATCAACAAGTGGAAAACATCAAACCAGGCATGGAAGCGACAAACACTGAATTCATGACAAGGGTGGGCACACGGTTTTGGTCATGTTTTATTTCTAACAAAAAAAAAAGAACCAATGGGTCTACAGGAAGTTACGCAAGTCATTAAGATCTGCATGGACGCATGTTAAGAGGTCTCTGGAATTTGGTCTATAAATGGGAGAAACACCGCTGTTGAAACCCAAGGTAACGTTGCTCTCCTGGCCACTTGACTGGGAAATTCTGCAGGCCAGGAAATCAGGAAAAAAAAATACAGCCCATATTGCCCCTCAGGCCTCTTACTGGAGGCTCTAGGCAGCACCCAGCTTTAGTTTCCCAGGACCCCCAGCAATGACAGTGTCCACAAAGGAGCACCCAAAGGTGGCCCTGTTGCAGAGTGGGTTCTGCTGCTGGGCCTCACAGAGCTCTTGTTCTCAAGAATCCCACCACATGCCCACAGTGGGGTGACGTGAGACAAATGAGTTCATTCCAGACAGAAAACTACAGCCTCATTCCTAATCACTGATGAAGATGTGAGACGTGAATCATCTCGGAGGAGGCCTGAAAGCACTTCCTTCTGGGTGCCCAGGACATGATTCAATATCCATGGGAGACTTGGGTGGAATCACGAACAGCACAATTAGAAGACAGCTCAGAACATGAAGACTCTGAGTGAGGCTTCCTGCCCAGGGCCACAGCCAGAACTGAAACCCCCAGCACAATGTTTACAGGGCCTTGGGCCTGAAAACAAAAGCCCTGAGGCTGAAATGGAAGTTTAGAGAGAAGCTGCCTCTACCCCTCACCCATCCAGGAGCCTGCACAGTGACAGCGACTCTGACTCCTGCGGACGCTGCTGAGATCTGGGCTGTGAGGTTTCAGGTAGGCAGCATGGCCAATTTAAAAACAAACACCATAAAACAGCACCTGACCAAGGTGCTGGCGAGTTCTGCTCTCGTGGGCAAGGAAAATGAGCAGGGCGTGAAATGAGTCAGCACACTAGGCGCCAAGTTCTCCTCTTGTGCTTGACCACTTGTGGGGCTGACCTGACCGAGAGCTAGTCTGTCTTCCCCCAAGTCAATCTCACCCCTATAATCAGGAGGGGGAAAAGTAAATCACAGTTCATGCAAACAACAACCAAGAAAGGTCCCCCAGTAAAACATACACTACATGTAAACTGTTCACATGATATCAAAAGTATACATTTAATCTCCTGAATAATCAAGCCTCTCATCAGGTTAGGTTTGCCATAGTTTTAAGCCAAATGTTGTGGTTTCCAGCAAACAAGTCATGGTATAAGTGAAATCACTGTAAGAAAGAAGTGACTCTTAGAACACAGACAAGACACACACTCACCTCAAGAGTAATATATACACAACACAGCAGCTACGTGGGCATTCAGTGAAGGGTATGAACCAAAAGCCCCCTGCTCCCTGCTCTCTGCCTGTGGAGTCTCCCGTCCCCCTGGATTCAGCAGCAGCAAGTCTACCGCACAAACGCCCATGGCCTCACCCCTGAAAAGATGCAGTTTGCCAGACTGCCCGCCAGGAGAAGCTAGAGCCCACATCATGGGAAAGGGCTTGGTTACAGTGCATTCTACTGCATACACTTGAACCTTTACAGTGTGTTTGTTCTCCAGATTATTATAAGTAACTTTTCGTGCTTTCTGAAAAAATAAAAACAAACCTTTCAGTCTGTGACGACGTAAGGTGAACCTGTAGTATGAAGCAGAGCTCATATACTCTCTGCAGGATTCTGGTGTGGATGCAGTGCCCATCTGACCAATGAGCCTCCATCCCTCCCTCTCTCCGGGCCTACAGAAAGCCATCCTCTGCAGCTTCCCGCAGGGGTTGCTGCAGAAGCCCCCAGGGACCTGTCAGCACCCTAGCCCAGGTAGGAGAGGCCCCTGCACAAGTTGGGTACAGATCAGCATCCACCATGTGTGCCCCAAAACAGTCCAGTGGATGGGGCTGGAACCACCAAGCAGACATCTTGAGCTGGGCAACACTGTCTTCCAGGTTGTTCAATACTTCACTTGTTTAAAAACTCCAAATGTAAACCCCCGTGACTTCTTTCCAACTCAGAGCTACAGATTACTCACTACTCAAACCATAAACAGACTGTATATACAAATTCTTTTTAAAACCCACAAATAAAAAACACTACCGAAAAAAGAAAAGAAAAGCCAGTGAGTTGAAGCTTGTCACTAAGTCATAGCAGCTGGGCTTGCCTTGGAGACCTGCCCCTCCCTCAGTCCTGACCCTGCTCTCCGGCCCAGGCGGCCCCTACTCATCTTCTGCGGCAGGTGTCAGGATCCCCTTGTCCATTAGGTGAGACTTAAGCGTGTTGAAGATGTGGAGCTGCTGATCTGGCCGCAAGGTCAGGAACTGCTGAATCAGCTTGCTCGGGTTAGGACCCCTGAAACAGAATGTAAAGACACAGCCTTGAACGGGCCTAGATGCTTCCAGGGCCTAAATCCCCAAGTGGCCACTCTGACTTCCAGAGTCTCTAATAATGGAGGGGAGATGGAAGAATCCATGGCCAGTAAAACTGAGAACTGTGTTCATATTTGAGATGCTTTTGACTGAAACTTGTATGTAGCCAAAATTCCAGAACAGCACCATACTTAAAAAACCCACCAACTTGGGCTGGGGATTTAGCTCAGTGGTTCCGCTCCCTGCCTTGAAATCACAAGGACCCAAGTTCAATCCCTGGTACCAAAAAATACACAAAAAACCCACCAACTTGGTTCAGATGGAAAGGCACCATACCTGATAAAACTGGCGATGTACACATTGACAAAGGTGGCCATCAGGTACTGGCAGTCAAAGCGATCCATGATGCCTCCGTGGCCAGGAATGGTATTGGCAAAGTCCTATTAGAGGCCAAGGAAGGATGGATGAGCCCTGCCTCAGCCAACAACCAAATCCCAGCCTACCAGTCCCACCTCAATAGCCAGCTACTGTGGTGGATAGCTAAAGGGAGCAGAAAGAAGGCCTGAATCACAGGCTATAATGTGACACATACTTTTTCTGGTTTTTCTGTTTTTATTTTTTTTGAGAGAAGGTCTCACTATGTGGTTCAGACTGGCATTGAACACACTATGCAGCCCATTCTGGCCTCACCTCATAGCAATCCTCCTGCCTCAGCCTCCTGAGTGCCTGGATTACAGATGTGTGCCACCATGCCCAGTTTAGGACACATTCTTAATAAATCACAAAATATTCTTTTGAAGAAATAAACATTAATAAAGTGAAACCCAACCACTAAATTTTCTTGGAAACAACATATTTTTGTCTAACCCACCTAAAGTCAGCACATGGCTCAAGAACAGTACACTAAATTGAACCGCCGGGGAGCATGGCCTGGAAGAATGAAGGGCGGCGGCTGATGGGGTGCGGGTGATGGGTGGAAGGGAGCAAGACGGGACCAGAGAAGGTTCCCCTACCTTGATTTTAAAGGCTCGCTTGAAGCCGCTTGCGAAGAAGCCTCCAAAAGGGCCTATGAGCGAGGCAAAGGTGGAGAGGGCAATGCTGTGAATCTGGAAGGGGTACATCCGAACAGTTTTCTGGGAAGAGGAAATGAAGTCAAGTCAAGGTGTGCACAAGTCCAGCGTATTACATGTTAACAGAAATAATCCTAAATCAAACCAACTGTATGTTTTTTAAATCGGTAAGAAGAGTGCATTTCTTCCCCATTCTTTTAAATCTAATACCTGACTTATTGGAAGACATTAAGATATTCTGCACTCAACCTGTTGCAATATGTTGTTTTGGTGGAAGTATATGAAGAAAATTCAGCCTTATACAGATATACAGTATTAAAAGAAAGAACATTTTAATAATCTTCTCAAAAAATTGTAGGTATTCAGGCTGGGGATTTAGCTCAGTAGTTCTGCTGCCTGCCTCACAACAGCAAGGTCCCGAGTTCGATCCCCAGTACCAAAAAAAAACAAAACTGTAGGTATTCCTACAGACACTACACCACCATTGGACAGATAGTTGCTGACTAAGAGTTGCAAGACAGGTGAAATCTGAAATCCTACTGATGAATTTTTTGTGCTCTCTCACATTAAAATCCATCAATTTATCTGGCACTTCCAAACGTAAATAATTTCATTATTCAATATCACCTGCTAAAATCACCACAGAGCTCATCAGAGGCACCTTTAAGGATTAGGAAACTGTCAAGCTCACAGCAGCAGGTACACACTTTTCAAATTCTAATTTTCACTTGGAAGCCAAATTTTTTTCTCTGGTAACAATTGCTGTCAGTCATTTCCCTGAAAGTGACAGAATCATTTTGTTCTTTTCCAAAAAAAAGTGTCCATAAGGGCCGGGGATTTAGCTCAGTGGCCACCTGCATCGCAAGCGCAAGATCCTGAGGAGTTTGATCCCCGGTATCAAAAAAAAAAAAAAAAGTGTCCATAAAATAACCCAAGTTTGAAAAACTAGTCAATTCTTTTCAAATAAACATCATGTACTTAGAAAAAAAAAGCTACTTTAGCTCACAACTCAAACAACTGCACGCACTGTATGTCAGTACTTAGGAATGTTTATGATGCTTTCTGTTTCAGTACACAAAGGATTTAAATGGTATGTATGCAAGGGTCTGAGTTTAATAAAATCAGCACTTTTACTATTTAAAAGACATTGCTAAGAGCAGTTGGTATGTTTGAGCAGGAGGGTGTGGCGTGAAGAGGGCACTGCTGCTGCACCATGGAGTGCTGCTGCCTTAACTTGTGTCCAGGTACCGTTTTTACCTGCAGCTCGTTTTGCACCACCACAGCAAATGTCAGCAGAGAAAACGGCACATAAAAGTCATAGGATTTTTAGGAAAACAGCTGTGACTTCACAGGCCCCTTTAAAGGGGTCTCACCAAACACAATTGGAGAACCACTGGTCCAAATGGCATGAAATGGGAGCAGAGGTCAACTCTGGCCCTCAACCTGACCCAACTTGAACAACTCCCCCTCACCCTGGGACTGACAGCTTTAGCAGGCAAGGGGTTGTGGAGGGGCTTCTCTTTGCTGTCCCCATCCCCCATGTAAGCGGCACATACCCAGCCAATGACCGAATGGATCACCCCAGGAATGTTGTACTCCTGCAGGCGGAACAGGTCTGAAGGCTCACAGTCCACGGTGAAGCTGTTGGTGTCATTGTTGTACTCCACGGGACAGACAAAGCATCTGTACCCAGACATCACATAGGACAGCTGAGGGTGAAGAAAGAGGCAGGCAAGGAGAGCACTGCAGCTACGCTGCCCAGAGGCCAGCTTCGGGATGGCCTGGCTCCTCACAGCACCTAGCATTCTGCTTGCTGTGAGCCACTGCTAAGTCACAGGATCATGTTGCACCACATGTTATTTTATCTGAATTTTTTAAGTGAAAGAGGCAGGCTAGCCAGGGATTTACCTCAGTGGTTCCACCACTTCCCTTGAAAGCGCAAGGTCCCGAGTTCAATCCTCGGTATCAAAAGAAAAAAAAAAACCACCAAACTGAAAAAACTACTGCCAAAGAGGCAGGCTTGTGGCCCACTGGGGTCTCATACAAATATGCCAAAAACACAGGCCCTGAAAAAGGCTGGGAGAGACCTGAGAGAATGTGGGCAGTAACTCTGAGGCATCTCTTCCATCGCAGGGAGCTCTGGTCCACCCTGCTCAGGCTAAGCTCAGTGATAAGTGTGGGGAGATCATGGGAAGGAAGTGGTACAGTGAGAGGCAGCCGGTCAGGAAGAAGGCTGCATAGCATTGAAGCTGGGGGAGAGGGGACAGCACAGAAGGACAGCCAGACAACACTGGGAAACGGGGATCAGCCTGAGGACCAGGAGAGGAAATGGTGTCCTCCAAAGGGCTGGAAGATGGTCCACTCTGGGAAGAAAATCCAACTCAGAGTGGCACATCCCACCTCACCCCTTACTCTCAGGTGCCACTCACCCTGACCTTGAAACACTACATGTTGGCACTGCCTTGCCTATGACAAGAGGGCACACAAGCTGCACACGGTCCCTGCTCAACTGTCAAGACCTCTTGAAAACTGGTAGATAAGGACAGCCAGTGCTGCTGGGCCACACTCATGCTCCTCATTGGAGCAAGGTCTCTATTCAGCAGGACAGAGTCCCTGGTCTTGGGACATGCAGGCCCTGGATGGTGGTGTGAGACATTGTCCACCCCCTACCCACCTGGGGGCCACCACTTACCAGAAGGCCAAACACCACAGTAGCAAAGAAACCCCCAATGAAGCCTTCCCATGTCTTCTTGGGAGAGAGCTGTAGACAGAGAGCATGTTCTCAGCAAGGGTGCTTCATCCCTCTGGCTTTTGGGAACAGCGATTACTTGCAGAAAACATCAGTATCATAAAACCCCCATTCTATTAACATCACCTTGTACATTCCCCTAACATGGTTCACTTATTCCCTACCTTATATCCTTCAGTTTCCTTTCTGTTTCAATTGGTCATTCAAATTATTTTTATTATATCATAAAACTGCATAGTACTAATTTAATGACAATACCCTAATCCAGATCAAAGCCCCTTAAGTGCATATAGCAAATACAGCCTAGAAACATATTTTCTTTAATAACTTGTCATTCCATCCCTTCTTCCCCCTCACTGAGGACTGAACCCAGGAGTGCTCTCCACTGAGTTACATCCCCAGCTCTTTTTATTTTTTGTTCTGAGACAGGGTCTCACTAAGATGCCCAGGCTGGCCTTGAACTTGGAATCCTATCTCAGCCTCTCAAGTATCTGGGATCACAGGCTTGTGCCACCATGGCCATTTAGGTTTTTTTTCTTTTTTAAGAGGACTGCCTATAGTTGTCAGTGTTTCCCTATGGCTTTTCTCTATAATTAACTGACTACCAGTCTGTCTCCAGGATGACATGAGAATATAGCCACAGTGCACACCAGCTGGATTTCTTCTCTATCTGCCACACTCACCTACTCAGGCAGAAAGCACTCCCCTCCCCTCACAGTGATATTTCATGTGAGGGTAACTTACCTTGATGAGTGGGGTCCGACCAAAGAAAAAGCCAAACATATAGGCCATGATGTCATTGCAGATCACACAGGAAATGGGGACAATGAACCTAGGAAATAAATCAAATGCGGTCAACACTCCTGAAATACAAAATTTCAGAGGTGCACCAAACAAGGCCTTTCATCGATTCCAGTACCAAAGAAGCCATAGTGTACTTGGAACCCATCAAGGAATAAGTTAAAAAGAAAATACCCAAAGTATACATAGCTTCTAACACACAGCAGGCATTCTTTACTGAGTGATTACTAAGTGAACAGAGGTAGCATCCTATAAATGTCATGTGTTCTTTTTTATCATAAAGTAATATATGCACATAATATGAATATAAACTTATAGAAAGAAAAAAACTAACTTTTCCTTCTTTCCCTAAGCCTACCTCCAAAAGAACCACTTTCTAATCATTTCTCATTTTTCTTCTACTAGCTAACTACGCATTTCTCTTTTTCTTTTTTGAGACGGGGTCTCACTATGTAGTTCAACCTGGCCTTGAACTCACTATGTAGCCCAGGCTGGCCTCAAACTTGAAGTGATCCTCCTGCCTCAGCCTCCTGAGTGCTGGGATTACAAGCATGCGCCACCATGCCCAGCTCGGCCTTATATTTCTAAATCATATGTTTTATATCTATTTCAAAACTAAGTTTTTTTCACTGTTCATTGCTCTATTCACTGGTGCGCCCCACCTTTCCTTAAAATGATCCTGGGTGCAACAGCACAACAGGCACAGCCACATTTCTGTCCCTTCCCCTGCAAGCCCTGTCATTCCCACCATGAAGAGAAGCAGTTTCCACACTTGTATATTCCCTCTCCTCTCCTCAGTCTCTGACCCTGGACACTTTTTTTTTTTTCCCCGCAGTACCAGGGATCGAACTCAGGACCTTGTGCTTGCAAGGCAGGCACAGTGCCACTGAGCTAAATTCCAGCCCCCCGGACATTTTCAGAAGTTCTCTTATTACAGTTAACATGATATTCATAAATCTTGACTTCCTGGCCCAGCAACTACAGGCAGGCAATATTTCCTGACTTCCTGTTTGAGGGAGGGATTTAGATCATCAGTACCCTCCTCCCTCTGCTCACCCCCTCACCCCTACATCATTTACTTCACCAAGGCTTCTAACAGAGTCTCTGCTCTTTAACTGTGTTGAAGTCTCCCTTAGAGATTTAATACTAGTTGCTGTAGAATCAAGGGTGTGCTTGGCCCTGAATCTGAGGACTTAGCATGTAGCACTTTTAAGAAATACGGGCTGGGATGTGGCTCAGTGGTTGGGTGTTTGCCTAAAGGAGAGGGGGCGGGAGGAAGAGGGAGTAGGAGAAAAAAATGAAATACCAAAAAAATTGAAAGAAAGGAAAGGAGTTGGTGTCTCCTCAGGGCATTATAATTGTTTTAAATGTATAAGAGCTAATGTCTAGGTATATTTACTAGTTGACTCTTCAGGAGGTGGGTGTTACTACAACCTTGCTGAGATCTGAGACAGAAGAAATTTGGAATGTGACCCACAATACTTAGCACCTTTCTCTTATTACACCAGGAGATGCCTTTATCTTTCCACTACAGTCATCTAGCTTCTTCATGAGCCTGCTGATTCTATCAACGCTGACAGATGTCCTGTTGAAACCACGCATTTCAGAAATAAACTACTCAATAATAGTGTATTATTACTCTCTCAGCACATTGCCAGATTCTATTTGCTGATATTTTATTTAGGATGGTTTATCTGTAACCATTAAGGAAGTCAGTTTAGATAACACTCAGCTGTTAACCAATTGGTCCTACTTCTTATTCCAAGTGTGAAATTCACACAACTTTTAAAGCTCTTGTATGGCTACTGATCTATTCAAGTTTGTTCCTTTGTGACTTTTAGTAGTTTATAACTGCTAGGAAATCAGGCATGTGTCAGCTGGGTTTTTTTATCTTGTGACATCAGCTGCACTGTTACTGACTGAACAGAGATTCTCTGAGTGTGGGTCCTTATGAGCAGCACCAGCCCTACTAGGTAAGTACTCAAAATTCAGATCCTCAGGCCTGCCTGGAAACTACTGAACCAGCTGCCTAGGGGGTACCTAGCCTGTGGTGACACTGCAGGCTCAAAGTGAGAACCACTGGTTCCAAAGATAAGGCAGGATTCTCTGCCTACCTATACACCAGGAACACCCACACAGGAAAAGGAGAAGTCCTCCCACAGCTATCACTCACCAGATCATTCCTTCAAACAGGTTGTGGATAACGAGATGTGACTGGGTTACAACAATCAGTAGTGTTACATGGGTCCAGCCAAACTGCAAAAGGAGAAAGATAGACTCTACCTATCGAGTTTACCTTGGTGGTAACTTCATATAATCAATAGCAAGAAGAAAGGTGCTGAGAAATAGGAAAAACATCTGCTGTTGTGTCTGTCTCATTTATTAGAAGTGAGAAGGTACAGAGCAGGACTCCAGAAGTAGTAATCTGTGCTCTTCCCAGTAAGAATCCATCAAAAGCAGGGACTGCATGCCCTACTCGTGAGTGCTTGGAAGCCTGGGTACTCTATTTTCTTAAGCTGAGGCAGGGAATGAGCAGCACCAGCTGATCAACTAGACCCTATTCAGACAATGTCTGAAGTTGCAACCACCTCACTGGGCCACCTGCAGCAGCTGGTGGAGACTGCTCAGAGTGAGACAGGAGCAGAGACTGGGTCTGAGGGACGTGGGGCTGCAATGGGCACTCTTTCTTCCTGTTCTACGTTTGAGGTTCACATAGAATGCTTCCTGGAGCTCTGATTTGTCACAAAAAGCATGAAAGGCCAGATGAGCTTCTGCAGACCTTCATGTGAACCAAGAACCACCCCCTCCCCACACACACACACTTTCCTTACCATGTAGAACTGCAGTCGATAATGCTTCTTGACCAGGCTTAGTACAAACATGCAAAATCCTAGTTTGAAGAAGGCAAGAAGGTAAAACGAATCACACTCTGCATCTTATCTTTCTGTTACTCCTTTCCTTTAGCTATTTTAAGCAGTCCTTTCAGTCATGTCTTCCCAGCAGTTAACCACTGCATAATTTCAAAGCCCAGAGGAGAAATACTAGTTATCCAGATAAGCAATCAGAGAGAAAAACTATCACAATAGCCTGCTGGTTTCAGCTCTAGATTATAAAAGGGCTAACTGAGACTCAGGAAGATTAAGTTCCTCTTCTCCTGAGGTCACAGAGTATTTTCAAATTCAAATCCAGTAAAATTTCCACCCTTCTGCAATGTCTCTCAAGGCTGCCTCCTAAAATGACTCCACTAAAAAATGGCCCATCAGGATTATTTTTCTCTGGTCACAATGCAGTCTTTACCAATAAGAGTCAGGACAGGATCATGCTCTGCTGACCTCCTAGGGTTGTGAGAATGCAAGGACAGGTGGCACAGAGGGCCAGTTTCTACAACTATACCCCCTCGGTCTCCATCTCTCTAGTAAAGAGCTACTACAGAGTTAGGTGGGGGGAAGGGGTTGCATGCTTGTAATCCCAGCACTCTGGAAGGCTGAGGCCAGAGGATCACAAATTAAGAGTCCAGCTGAGGCAACTACAGCTCAACAGAAAACAAAGCTGCCAGCTCACTCCCTGCACAGACAGAATTAACATCACAAAACTTTAACCAAGAAATTCCCCATCTCTCCTGGCTGTAATCCCAGCACTTAGAGGGCTGAGGCAGAGGATTGCTGTGAGTTTGAGGCCAGCCTGGGCTACATAGTGAGTTCAAGACCAGCCTGAACTACTTAGCAAGACTCAATCTCAGGAAACAAACAAACAAACAAAATCCCCAACTCCTACTCAACAATACTGACACAAGAAATGGAGAAGCATTCAATACACACCGGTTAGGTAGAGGGTGAAGGAAATGAACCGGTGGTATTTACTGAGAATCCGCAAAGGCTCTTCTCTCTGGACCAGGGTGAAGAAGTAATCCGTCACCGTCTCACCATAGAAGAAATAGTTTACACACAGCAGAAAGTACCTGGAGGTGGAGACAGGACGGAGTTGGGGGAGCACACAGCCTCTCCTCTACAGTGAGGCTGCCACACAGCCCCAAGGACAGGACAGAGAGCAGAGGCCACTCTGACTCAAGAGCCCAGGCCAGCATGCAAGGGATGAGCAGACCTCAGCTCCCTGCTCCCCGCTGACCCTGTGCGAAGGAAGTCAGTACAGAATCCTGTGCAGCTTTCACTCACTCTCCCTGTGTGTCACACACTTGGGACTCAGTTCTTACCCCTGTAATGGTGTCCCACACCTAACGCACCCCAGCTGCCTCATCCTCAGCCCTATTCCCACTCAGCAAACTTCCCTTCCTACCCCAACAGCGCACTCCAGCTTTGCCTCCTGTCTCCTCTACTGCCTCTTGCTGGCCTGGGACATCCTCTTCACTCATCTTTTTTCCCCACTCATCACTCAAGTACCATTTTCTTTATAGAACTTTCCAGAACCTAACATGCTCTCACATTTATTTCTATGGCAGGACATCTCCCTTTCGGAAGCCTGGCTCTGCCGGGGAGCCTTCCATCACGTTACTCCACACCTGTTTCCATCCTCTCTCCACTGGAGTCTCGCAGGGGGAGAAGCCACAGCTCACATAGCTCCGCAGCCTCCACCATGCTTCTGAGTACAGGACCATGCATCACCGTCCCAGACCCTCAGTGAGAATCTCAAGGCAGGAAGAGAATGGAAAACTTCTCATTCCCATTTTCTTTAATTGTGAAGTTCAAAAATTTCCATATTGGGTTTATTTTGTTATATGGGAAAAAAGTTCCTTTGAAAAATGACCACAGCCAGGAGTCAGGCCTCCTGGGTGTTAACAAAATTTATAATACAGCTGTACAGCTACAGAGCAGCCACAAGAGAGACCTGCTCCGTCTGGAGGCTGGGAGGCCCCCTGCATGGCTGGGTGACAGGGAGCATTGTGGGAAAGGTGCCTGGCCTAAGTCTGAGCGTGTCAGGTCCCTGGGGCACAAAACACTGCTGTCCAGCCTGTTAAGTCACAAGTCAATCCCTCTGTCGCAACATGTTTGGCAGAGTCTCCTCAGAACTGTGCAGTGTTTTGCTCAATGTCACCCCCTAAAAACAGTGTGACCCACAAAACAGGTCAGGAAGGGGTCTCAGATCTCATCCGAGTCAGGGTTCTTCACTTGTTCTTGCTTTAAGGCAGCTAAGCCCTTTCTGAGGAAAAGGAGAAAGCAGAGTTTCTCTGGAGGAGCCCATATCTGTGCTTTCAGTCTCATCCGGCCCATACACACTGGCAAGGAACTACGACTCCATACCACAGTCTAAAAGTGACTGATAAATGTCAATCAGCTGTTTCAGCAATAAGGAAACCAAGTTCTAGCGACAGCAACCCCAGCACCAAAACTTGACAACCCCAAGACAACTCTAGCAGGATGCTAGAATCTACCCTAGCAGCATGCAAAATCTACTGATCTAGAAGGCAGGCAGAGCCAAACACCACCCCACCCTCATCCTGGAAGTCTATGGACTCCAAGTACCAAGGCTCACTGCTCAGACACAGCCCCTCTGGGTTCTCCTGAGGAAGGTCTCTGCCTCCTAGTAGCTACTGAAGACTTCTCAAAGTCAGCCACACAGACTGGCCTGCTCCACAGTGCTGTGCAAGTCTGTACATCCACTGCACCTCCATCCACCATCCCTGCAAATACACACCACCGAACACAACACCCACAACAGGTAGCCAGGCAGCTTACCAGCTGAGGGTCCTAAACCAGGGCAGGTCATAGGAGTGGTAGACATTGTAGCCGATAGTGATGATCTCGTGGAAACACTTTATCTGAACACACATCACCTGCAAGACACAGAGGAATCACAGCAGTCTTCTTATAATCTTTAGAACCAGAAACCAATCAGGTCCCGGGCCTTTAAGAAAAATCACTATATTTAAGAAAAATTTCAGTTCTACTCTGAGATTCTGCTCTCCTTTTCCTTTCTCTTTCATACCATCCCTCATGGCAACAGAGTCCTTTATGCCACAGGGAGCAGATCCAATTTCTCACAATAAAGTACACAGCCCTAATACTCTGATTAACTTTTTATCCTAGAACCTCCAAAATTCAACCAACACTCACCTTTTCTTTTCTTTCTCTTCTTTTTTTTGCAACACTGGGGACTGAACCCAGGCCTTCATGCATTCTACATTCTAACTCTTTCTAAATTCTTTTAAAATTTTAAGACAAGGTTTCCCCAAGCTGCCCAGGCTGGGCTTGAACTTGTGATTCTCCCTGCCTCAGCCTCCCCAAGTGCTGAGATTACAAGTGTGTACCATCATGCCGGACAACTCCTTCCCCTTTATGGACTCCAGATGTAAATATGTGAAAGGCCCAACTTCTCTGCTCAGCAGTCAGCTGCTGTGGCCTGTCCCTGTCCATGACAGTGGGAAGATCAAGGGCAGCTCTGTGGACTTAATAAAAGCTCTAAAACCATAAGTGAGACCCCAGGGAAAAAGACACAAAACCAGGAGTCAACAAAGACAGCTTAATTAAACATCTGGAATAACAAATTCAATTTTAAAAACAAAGAGACCTCCTTACCCACAAACAAGTGGCCTACACTAGTTGGCTACTGTAAGTTGAGAAGTCACAGATAGCCTGAGGCAGAAGTGTCCAGAGAGGACAGGAACCCACAGATTCCCACCCCTGGCACTGAGGACGGTCAGTCCCAAGGGAGACACTGAAGGCAAAAGAAAATAGGCAGGCAGACGGCACTTACGATCATCATTAAAACCATTGGTCCTAGGTAAATGATGATGAAGAAAAATGCAATCATGGCCAAAGTCAGGATGCCTCTCACCCACCAGTTCTTCCATCTTCGAGAGCAGGGGAAGGAGAAAACACAGTTAGCAGTCCAGGAAGAACAGAAGCAGACCTGAGGGAACTAGAACTAGAACTGGCTCTTCTTGAGCCTGCAGGCCCTGAGTGCAGTCCTTTCCAGAGCCCCGCCTTCACCTGGACAGAGGCACCGCCACTGACTGAAGGGAGCAGGGCACCAGCACCAATGCGCACCCCCCACCAAACTCAGCTGCTCCACCATCTACAGAAATACACCTGGCTGCATCTTAAAGAAAGCACCAGGGAAAAACCACAACCCAGGCAGATGTAGAACCCTCTGCTTCAGTCCCGACTCAGAGAGCTCCTGTGAAGAAGAGATCAGTAGCACTTTCCCACAGCGGAATTTTAAACTACGCTGCCTGCATCTTCACAGTGATAATGATAATATGTGTTAGGCAAAGACAACAACAGCTCTCACAATATGTTTAAGGACTTTAAACATCTTAACTCATTCAACCCACAACCCAACTGGCTTTTAAATTTTGTCATTTTAAATAAGTTTTCATTCACACAACATCTGTATATACTTCACTGAGGAAATGGAGGCACAAGTCACACCTCTACCAAATGGTAAGACTAGGATTTGAATGCAGGGGTCTGCTCCCCACTCCATACCCTTTTTCCCTGGACAACATGGCCTCCCAAAGGGACAGCTGGCAGGCACACACAGGGTCTCATCACACAGCAGGTGTGAGAAGGACCAGCTGCTCAAGAGCCCGTGTTTGACCCCTGGGTTTATCTAACCTGAGATGCTGCCCAGTCTTCCTGGAGAACTTACAGAACTGTTGGAAGTGGATGCCTATAGAAGGGCGAAACTAAACCTTGAACCAGAAACCCTAAGACTCTTAAGTCTTCCACACATTTGGTCACAGTGCAAGGTCCCCACAAACCTGGGCATCGTGAAGCCAGGTTACCTTGAAGACAGGTTAGAAAGGGCCCTGTTGAGGACCTCCGGGGTGTCATCCACAGGAGCTGGCGGGGCAACCAGGTCTGCTCGGCTCTCGCTGTCTGATGCAGTCTCTCCATCAACCTTTGCTTCTGACTCCAACTCCTACATGGTAGAAATGCAGAAGGAAAAAAGGTCAAAAACGCCAGGTAGATTATTGGGAAGAATGTGCCTATCATGAGAGTCTGCAGGACAAGACTGGGCCCGGCACAGTCAGATGACAGAACAGACATGGTGCTCTGACATGTGCCATGGCAGCTGCCCCCCACTAGAGGAGAGGTGCGCATCTGTGCTCAATCCCCCTGGGTAGGGGATGCGGAGGAGAAAGAAATGGCTCAATGGTAGCCACAGAATGCAGAAAGGACACTGACTGGGTTCCAACAGACAGGTATCCCAGACTTATGTCCAAGTGCTAGGGTGTCAGCACCCAGGGAGATACTCCCACCCTGAAACTCCTCTCCAACAACACCAGAACCGCTCAGGGTTTGGTCTCTGCTCTGCTGTGACAAGCTGTGGACTCTGAGCACTGCCACAGTGGCCAGGGGCACAGACCAGGCTCTCTCAGGGGGAGCCAGACGTGCAGGCTCTCCCTCCATGCATCAGTTAATGCCACCCTGCCCCAGAGTCCACAGCATGACCTCTGGGCTTCACAAGGGCATCCTAGGAGGCCACTGAGGGCAGGGTGGGTGGAAGTCACACCTCTGACTCATTCAAGTCTATGCCTGACCCAAGACTAATTTTTGCCTCTATCCTAGGTGTTAGCAGACCCTCAATGTCACTCACTGAGCTGCCACCTGGGCCACAACCAGGAAGGAAACACGTGCAGGAACCCTACCCCAGCCTGGGAGGAGGGACCACAGTCAAGTCAGGCACAGACTCTATCCCAAGCTCCCGGTAACGGGTTATCCTGAGTCCCAGGAACCATCCACTCCTCAGCTCTTTCATTTCTTTTTTTTTTTTTTTTTTGCTACCAGGGATTGAACTCGGGACCTTGCACTTGCAAGGCAGGTAGCTGAACCACTGAGCTAAATCCCCAGTGAGCTCATGGCCCAGCTCTTTCATTTCTCAGAGGGATTTAGTACAGCTGCTATGAGAGGAGGTGGAGGAAAACTCAGATCACCTAGAATTAAGGCTAGCAAACCACTACTTAGGATTTAGAGTGCCTGCACTCTGAAGAACAGGCCGCAGACCTGAGATCTTCGCTGCAGCAGTGGGGAGAGGGAAATAAGAAACAGGGGCTCCGGGAAGTTAACCGTCTGGCCCAATGTCCCACACTAACCCAGGTATGGTTTCACGGTGTCCATCCTACTAAGTTTTCTTTTACTTATGAGGGGGCTTTTTTGTGGTTTTTTTTTCTTTGGTACTGAGGATCGAACTCAGGACCTTGCACTTGTCAGGCAGGCATAGCACCACTGAGCTAAATCCCCAGCCCCAAGTTTTCTTTTATTTAAGAATTCTGGGATCCATTTTATTCTTCAGTAAGCAATTCAGAACAATAGGAAATAGCAAGTAGACGTTGTACCACATCTTAGAAGATTTTGTTAAATATGCGTATAAATGCAGAAAGTCACATTTTTTAAGATAAACTAAATCTGAATGTCCCTGATGACTAACCTGAAATTGAGCACTAGTTCATGTTTATTAGCCATTTGGATACCTTTTTCTGTGACGTATTTGTCAAAAAGTTGGTCATTTTTTTCTTTTTATTAATTTGTCACATTTCTTACGTGTTCACTAATACATTTCCCCAGTCTCGTGTCCTCCGAACCCTCAGACTTCCTCCCTCTCAGCACTGGCCATGATGGAGACTTTCTTCTGTCTCCCTGCTGGCTCTAAGCTGCTTATAGGCAGGTCCATGCCATCTTGCTTTCACTATTCCTCCATGCCTGGCCTACAGCAAAATTCTGACTAATGGATGGAAGGAAAGAAGAAGTAGTGAGAAGTGAATCCCACAGTGCAGTAAGGACAGATCCAGCCCCATGATAAGACCCTAACAGTCAGGCGCAAGCGACAGCTGATACAAGAGACAACTGGCTTCAGTAAAGGGCTGGTACAGGTGGTCTCCCAGCAGGGTTTGATGGCTCTGGACAAGTGACCCTAGTGCCTGTGAACTTCTGTGTCCTCCCCTCACGAAAGGGGCCCTGAAGAGAGAGAACCCAACTCCATCCAGGGCTGTGTCCTACTCCACCCACCCACCCCCACCCCGAGGTTCTGAAACACAACAACCCACCCAGGTCTGCCCTCTCCATTAGGAGGGACGAAGACCAGGCATTCAGAGCAGCTTTCCATCTCCCACTTTAACATTTACACTCACAGCCCTCAGCTACCACCAATGGTTAAGGTAAGAAAGTGCAGGATAATCTACTCTGATCCTAAACCTCGAAGTCAAAATGTGGGCACCTCGGCTCAGTGAGGTTTCCAGGGCTGCAACCCAAGAGCATCTAGAAGCCACAGGAACTGAGCCAGCACAGCAGGCAGAGGGCCCTTGCTCACAAGTACTGAAGCCCAGGTTATTTTTAACTTCTCTTTCCTGTTGTCAAGGAGACACACAAAGGCTGCTGGGTCCTCAGCAGGAAAGAGCAGGCAGCCTAGCTCTGTAGCAAGAGGGAAGAGGTGTTCTGAGGCACAAAGTAGTGGAAGGAGATAGAGGCCTCTTGTGAGGATGCTGCTGGCTGCTGTTATTACCAAAGCTTTAGGGTGACTTTGATGAACAAGTAAGAAATGCAGTAAGAGTCCAAGGGGGCAAGCCTGAAAGAGATGAACTTCCTAGGTTTTTCCTGCCTCAAAGTGAGTGGTTTCAGGTTCCTAGGCCTCACCCAGGCCCACTAAGTGTCCATCTTCAGAGCCAGTACCTGGAGACACCCCTGAGCAGACCCAGAAAAAACACACCTACCCATCAGCTGAGATGGATCCACACAGGAAGAAAGTGTGGGTCCTTATGGGGGGAAAGGGTGCAGCCAGGGAGGGTGCACGTCTGCCAGCTCCCCAGGTACTGCCGTCAGGAGGGCACTGGCCATGGGAGGAGACCTAAATGAGAGAACCTGGAGGCCCCTGGGCAAAGGACTTTTATCTGCGGAAGCAGCAACTTTTGATGCCTGGATAAAGGAAGTTGATGCTGGGAGCAGCTTCCACAGTGGGCCTGGATGCCTGGATGGAGGCAGGGACCTGGAACCCAGCTTCTGTCTGGAAGAAAAGTAGCACATGCTAGACACGAATCAGCACACCTATCAGTCTCCTTCTCTAAGGGATGGGAAATCAGGCAGATGTCCAGGTGATCCTGCTGGAGGAGGCGGCAGCAGCCACTCTGGGAAGCAGGGCCCAGGGCCAGCTCAAAGCTCAGCACCCTTGGCACAGGCTTGTCTCTGGTGTTCCTGGTGGGAAAAGGACTCCCTATCTCAGACGTTGTTGAGGAGACAAATGCAGCATGATAGAATGCTGTGTCTCCTCCTGAGACAGCACACGGGACAGGAGCCTGAGAACTTTCGACACCCACCCCAGGAACCTGAGCCCCTTCCCACAGAGAATGGGCTGCAGGGAAGAACAGAGGACTGGGCCCAGCTGGCCTCATGTACTATCTGAGCACAGCATCCACCTGGCTGGCTTCCCAACTCAAAAAATGACCCTTTCCCAGGCCAATGTGTGAAGTGGCATCTGAAATACACAGGCACCTGCTGAAGCAACAGTGCACTCTCTCAGGTGGGTGTAAGCACCTCAATGTGCCAAGGGCTAGGAGGAAGTATTAGAACTTATTTCTACTCGCTCTCATTTTCTTTCCCTTGACTGCTCTGTAAGGGATGCTTCAGTATGCACTCAGACCTTAGTAAGTAGTATCAACCGGAGCACTTGGTAAAAGCATCATACGTGTTAGGCATGGTGTTTTGTCAGGGACCATGGGGTGCCTCCACACCATCACACTGGGCAGTGCAGGCACGCAAAGATTTGCTGAGTTAATGAGCTAATTAATTCTACTTGATCTATTGTGGGCCCAATGGTCCAGACTACACCGAGAGTATAACAGCACCCACTCCTGCTTCTAGCTCTTGTCCCCAACACATACCCCTGTGCACCCTGCTTGGCACTAGCCCTGGCAGCAAGACCAGGTGGGTGCCCAGTCCTCCCTCCCTCCCTCCCTCCCCAATGGGAAGTGGGTGCAAGAGTCCAGCTCTGGGAGGAGCACAGTGCAGGAGGGAGAGTCTGCCTCGCCTCTCCAAACTGTCTCAGCCAGCTAACCCCTTCCCTCCTTCTTTCAATCCTAAGGCCTCTGATCAGAGGCTTAGTGGGGACTGATTCCGTCTCAGCCACCGCCCATCCTGCAGCAGTTGCTCAACCATTTCCCAGGGGTGGTGATGCTGATGTAAACAGGAAGCAAGAGTGCTGCTCTAACAGGAAGTGTGGGGGCTCTTCTCAGGCCCTTTCCTTTTGGTGTGCACAGACCCTCTAGGGAAAGGCAGAAGCACTTAGGTGTGGGCACACAGACAGTTCTGGATACCAGTAAGAGCCATCCGCACTTTGGGGAAAATTCATGCTCAGCCTTCCAGGGCGCCTCCCTCCCCCACCCAACTCAACCTGGGCTCGGAACTGCACAGAAGCCTGCCTTCCATAGACAGAGAAGGCAGTGAGGGAGGGCCAGGGAGACAGGCGGTGCTAAGAACAGGCTCTTCCTAGGGAGGAACCAAGCTCAGAGGGCAACAATCTGTATCTCTAGATGAACACCTGCTGTTTGGCATGGACTCCATTCCCTTAGTTCCCTCTTGATTCTCAGGATTTCCTCACCCTGTCTTGGCCTACAAAAGCTTCCTCGGCAGCACCCTCTGAAGCTCTCTTTGAGCTCATCATCTCCCTACCTTAATATATCTCAAAACTCACAGTGACACCACAAATGGTGATGGCCAGAGCCTGACCTTAAAAGTGTGGCTGTGGCCAGGGCTGGATGGAAGCCCTTGGCATTGTGCCAGTCAGGCTCCAGGCAAGTGGGACTCACCTTGCCCCAGGCCCCATTTACATATGCCAACTCCATTTTGTACCCACTAAAATCTACATATATTCCATTCTCTGCCTAAGAGGAGCTAAAATCAGGGGAAAAGAAAATAAGTGGTACCATCCAT